GAAAACCGAGACGTTAACGGAAACAGCGTTGACGGAATCAGTTTTCCCCATAAGAAATGGATAAAATACGGGAGTCACGTTCTCCAGCATCCCTTTTCTCCATAAAATACATTACATATACAGAAATTCAATGGCATTTTTATAGAAAATAGTATATATATAAATAAACTAAATCATTTTGTATTGTACTCACTGATGGACGGAGGTGGTGGAGTGGAAGAGGAAGGCGGGAGAGGAGGAGGAGGGTGGCGAGTCAATGAGACCTGGCGGGTGGCTCCTCCTTCCAGTTTAAAAGATCCATTTTCATAGCAAGGCTAATAATCTTACATTGCTTCTTCACAACACTAGCATCAGTAGCACTTGATGGGCACTTGGAAGCAATTTCGAATGATTGAGTACAGTATTAAGAGCAAAAACACTTAAACACGCACGAACGCTGTGGTAGCTTAACAAACACTGGCGACTCTCGGATGCCGTCATGCTCCGCTGGTTTGAGTGTAGCGCGGCAAGATGAGAGAGGGTGATGCGCCGTACAAAGTAGTCCGTGACGACGTTATGCAGTACTGAATTGGCAGGACGTTATCCGAATCATGGGTATCTAAGGAATAGCGACGTTATAACGAAACAACGTTATTGGGGGCAACGTTAAACGAGGACTTACTGTATTGCATTTGTTGCCACCAACCAAATCTCGTGATTTCGTCATTGCAAACAATAGTTTAAGACCAGACATGACCAACACTGCAGCAGGTTCAGATACATTCAGGATCCGGTACATGTTCAGCACTGCCAACCATGCCGAACAGAGATGTGATCGAAAGCCCAAGTGGCTAATGAGCCGATCAGTGGCAAAGAGGATAAAGGTAAAAAGTAAAAAAGAAGAACTTAAAGATATGAACGTAGATAGCATAGCAACAGTACTCTACTTAAATGGTAAAGAATTGAAATTAAGTTTGCTGTGATAAACTTTAAAATCACTTACCTGTACTTTCAGTATGTAATGCATATGAAATCAATGCAGATGAAATATTTTCAATGACTGCTGAAAATTGAATAGATAGCTATTTCAGCATTGGCGATGTTTTGATAGAGTTTGCTCAGTACAGTAGAAGTCCAAAAATCCGGACTGCTTGGGGATTGGGTCGGTCCGGATTTTCGGATTTTCCGGATTCTCAGGCAGTACTTTTAAAATTCAAATTTAAGGAGGAATAAAGAAGAGATGAACAGGTACATTTTGATAGTTTATTCATTAGCAAATATATCATGCTTCATTTATCAAAACGAGCAGTTTTAAAGAAAAAGCTGTGAATTCTAGAATTTTATTCTTTGCCTTTTTTATATCATAAATTGTAGACTTTCCAATGTCGTATGTTTCCATTAGAACAGTATTGCTCACACCACGTTCTAGTTTCTTAATTATTTCAAGTTTGTCACTCAATTTCAATGTGTTCTTCTATCTCTTCACACAACGAAGTTTATCTACTTTAGGAGTCATTATTATGGGATTGTACAGTACAGTGAGTTCTGCTATAACGCGTGTTTTGATAACGCGAATTTGCTCTAACGCGATTTATGAATTCGGAACAATATTTGTATAACGCGAATGCTTGTTTGCTATAACGCGATTTTTGCTTACTATTTCTCCAATTTTGTGGTATTAACTGTGAATATGGTAAAGAAGAATATCTCCAAAAAGCGTTCTGATGATAGAATTCCCGGTGATTATTGTAAAAGAAAGGATATAACACTTGAAGAGAAGCTCGATGTTATCAACCTCAAAATCACCCTTCTTCCCCATCAAGTTACATTCATATTTTTTCAAAGTAAAGTGTTACATTTACTGTATGATTTCATTATTAGATATGAATGTAACATTTATTTAGACTGTGCTATCCTTTGTGTTAGGCTAACTACAAAATTTTTTCGATTTCGAGTAATCTGCACCTAACCCTATTTTCTCCATAAGCCCTGTTATTTCTATTACGCGATTTTCTATAACACGATATTTTACAAGAACACAATTATCGCGTTATAGCAGAACTACCTGTACTCTGTGAATGGAAAGAGTAGGACTCAAAATTACATACAGTACGTTGTCACAGTTTGATTGCTCGTTTTAAAGTGGCGACCGCGTGGTCGCTTGTTGTCGCTGTGCAGCTGTGGCGTTTACGCATGCGCACATACACACAAAAGCCAGCTAAAAAAAAAAACCAGTTTGAGTTTTCGAAAAGTCCGGATTCTCGGGTGGTCCGGATTTCTGGCATCCGGATTTTTGGACTTTGACTGTACATTTTAAATGAACGTCATGTCGCCCAAGCGACTAACGAGCCAATCTGTGGCAAAGAGGATAAAATTAAAAAGAAAAAAGTGAATAAGTTTCACTAGTATTTTACCAAGGAAAAGTTAAGCTACATCACAGGGTCCTCGACCTGGATTCAGTCTCCTTCTTTTACCTATACAGTACTATTTTAGTCTGGTATTTCCCATAGTGTTTTCCATCTATTGTCACAGCTTTTTCTAAATCTGTAAATATTGTACTGCAAACGTCCCCCTTCTACGGAATTATGTTGTTTGTATTTTGAATGGATATACTGTAACGGGTAGCCAAACCTTCATGTGACTGGATCTAGGTTTGTCATGGTTATCTAAACGTGATCTACTGTACAGTACAGCACAGCTCCTCCCCGATTTACGACCGACTCGACTTACGACCACCTGCACTTATGACCTGCCTCAGTCGTACCAAAAATTTTTCAAATTACGTATTTTCGAGTCCCAACGTCAGTACACAGACTAAATTTTTGTTTGTAATTCAGTTTAAAATGGCTGACAAGCTTAAAAGTGAGAGTTTTGTGGTGCTGAGAAGAAAAAGAGACACCCATTTTAGATTTTCTATGTATTATTTAAGCATTTTTGACTAACTACCATTTCGACTTACGACCTGGCTTTGGGTCCCTAACCCCGTCGTAAGTTGGGGAGGAGCTGTACTAACACATTTTTTTCTAACCTCCAGCAGATAATGGATAGATTTTGAGCCTTAATGGAGAAAGAGAGTAACCAATACTGTATTGCTAAGAGCTTATATAATTTTCAATGTACAGTATAGTCTGGATTTATGCGGGTTTTGTTTGCGCGTTTGGTCATTTACGCGGTGCCTTGCCAGAATGAAATGTTTTAATTACGCGGTAAATTTCATCATTTATGCGGGAAGCGGCGCGAGCAGGGTGCGCACAAGGTCGCCCAGTCATCAAAACATTACCAAGTTCTTCACCCACCACAGCCGGCCCAAGTCAGTGATAGTGAGGATATGGACTTTGAGGGGTTTGACAAAGAGGCCCTGCAAGCCTCTGTGGTGGACAGTGATACAATTGATACAAGTGATACAGGTGAGGGCCAATAATCTGCCCTCTGCCTCGGAACCAACCCCCCATCCCTATGTGCCCAGCCATCTTTTCTACTAACCTAAGTGTTAAAAAGCCTAATATTATTGATATTTCACTTAAATATTAATTGTGTGTGCATACCATCATAAAATTAAGATGTTATTTTTACTACAAGGTACGTACTGTGTCGGAAAAAGTGTAGTTTGGGGGTTGGCCCAGTCTATTTCAATTAATCCCATATGTTCTGTTATTTCGTTTACGCGTTTCTCGTTTTATGCGGACCTCCATGGGTTCAATTGACTGCGTAAATGCAGACTATACTGTATAATCATACATCTAAGAAGGTATGGAGAAGAATTTATTTTACTGAAGTGATGCTTTGCACTGTATGGCATCAGCAAGCAGTGTGCAGGCTCCCAGCGGGTGAAATTTGGCTGATTCATTATGTTAGCGGTACCATTTTCTGTGATATTATTGATTAATTATTCTCCAAATTATTTAAATGTGTCCTTCCTTGCTAAATGACTGCTAGATGCAAAGACAAAACATGTCATGAATGTTGCTACTGATAATGGTAGAAAACAATTTTTTTTTTTTGTTTTTGTTTTTTGTAATAACGAACGGGTTGTGCGCTTGGCAGTGGTGCTGTGTATTGTACCTGTAGGATCCCTGTTGATTGGCTATGCTGCTACAGGTACTACCCATCCTGTGATCTACCAGAAATTGCTTTGCGATGTGCGATGTACTGGTAGATTGCGATCGATGTTTTGGCCAACCCTGCATGTATAGCAATACAGTACATGTTCTGTATATACTGTAGTGCTGTACCAATGAGAAGTTATCTGCATACAGCACTCTCAGAACATATGTTTAAGGCATAAGCTGACAAAAATATCCATAAAATCTATGATAATTGTGTAATATCCATCCATTCTAAGATTAAATCGAGTGTCACATCTCACACTGGATGGTGATACCGAAGGATCTTCAAATGCATCAATGGAGCGATATCTGTTGTGGGCATATGTATTTTTTATTTTTATTTTTTGCACTTTACAGCCTAGAACTAAACCATTGTGCTTAGTTTAGTTTTAAGGGTGTCAGCCAACTCTCAGAATACCAATCCTGATGGTCCAACTCACTTAGGAAATTTTATGATCAGACCAAGTTGACATAAATGAATAATTTTTGGTCACTGTTATAGATAACTTCTGGCTGTTTTGGCTAACCATATTATTATTACTTAATGATATAACAACTATTAGTGTATTATAGATTGACTTAATAGTACAGTACATGTTAAGTTTTACTTTTGGACAACATGGGAATCTTAGAAATTTTATCTTTGCAATCGATAGTGTAGATAATTTTAAGACACTTTTCTTCATTGACGTTTCCTTACAAATGACCTGACCTAACCTCCTAACTGGAGGCTCTGCCCCTCCCCCCAGCATATTTAAGTCATTTGCGAGGGAAACGTTATTGAAGAAAAGTGTCTTAGAATTGTGTATACTACTGATTCCAATAGTTAAATTCCTAAGATTACCCAGATGACAGAAGCGAAAACAATACCCACTATACATGTACAGTAGTACAGTACAATTATTTTTTTCACAGCAACAGCAGTCAAGATGGCATCCATTCCACAATTGTTAATGGAGGAGGTTCAGCCAGCCTTGACTACATCTGGTAGCAAGGTGACAGTGGTTGGTGTAGGTCAGGTGGGAATGGCTTGTGCATTCTCTCTCTTGACCCAGCACATCTGTTCAGAATTGGCTCTTGTTGATGTGGTTCCTGACAAGTTGCGGGGCGAGATGATGGACCTTCAGCATGGCCTAACTTTCCTTAGGTTTGTCACTGCAAACTTTTTCAGTTCTAAATGTGCCTGTGTTATATACAGTAGATAATTATGTTAGGTACTTCTACTTGACTGAATATGTCATTGAAGATATCTGCATTTGAAAAGAAGACTATTTTTGTTGATTGGAGAAAATTTACAAAAAAATTATCAATTGGATTGAGCAATTATTATTTCTCATCTTTATCCTTGAAATTGAATAATTTAATTCATTTTATTTCTCAGGAATGTGAAAATTGAAGCCAGCACAGATTATGCTGCGAGTGCTGGTTCCCGTTTGTGCATTGTAACAGCTGGTGCCCGTCAGAAGGAAGGAGAGTCTCGTCTCTCACTTGTGCAGCGTAATGTTGATATTTACAAGGGCATCATTCCTAATCTTGTCAAGCATTCTCCAAACTGCATTCTTCTTATTGTTTCCAATCCTGGTAAGTTAGACCTCAGATATTCCAGACATGTCAAATGATTCCTTTATTAAAATAATTTATATGAAACTACACTTCTTTCTATACTCATGTTTATGGCAAACATTTGTTGCATATTTTCTTTTTAAGAAAATCTGAAAATTCAGTATTAACCATTGGGTAATAATTTCAAGCTGAAGATATTTTTCATTTATTGCCTTTCTTACATCATATTTAGGACAGTTTTTCTCTTCCAGTGGATATTCTGACCTATGTGGCATGGAAGTTGTCTGGATTGCCAAAGAATAGAGTAATTGGATCTGGCACCAATCTTGATTCATCAAGATTCCGTTTCCATCTGTCACAGAAACTGAATGTTGCTCCCTCCTCTTGCCATGGCTGGATTATTGGCGAGCATGGAGACTCTTCAGGTACTATTTTGATTGTTGTTCATTGATAAGATTTAGTGTAAAGCACAAAATATAGTCATACATATATAATAAGCATTTCACATGTATATCATACCTGCATCATTGAAAATTGTTCTTTATCTGACTGTGGTTTCATGGCTATGTCTGCTTACTTACTTTACTACCCAGTTGTGCAGTCATTCTGTGCTGTTATTCAGTAGACTGTTGGCAAGTACTGGCCCTACTGGGTAGACGTGTACAAACTCTTGAATGTATACCAGAACATCTTCTAATGTGGGGGTGGCGAACCTATTTGAGAGCTTGTGCCCAAATCGGCGATAATTTTCTGAAAAATTCTCTTGCGTGCCTGTGGGAATTTTGAGCAGAAGATTATTATTATCATTATTATTATTATTATTATTATTATTATTATTATTATTATTATTATTATTATTATTATTATTATTATTATTATTATAATAATAATAATAATAATATTGGTACAGTCGGCCCTTAACATTCGCGGGGGTTAGGTAACAGAGATACCCGTGAATGTTAAAAATCCGTGTACTATTTCTGCCCCCCCCCTCCTCCCCCCTAAAAAATCCCTGGCCCCCCATGTCCTTATTTACCGTATATACCTGTGTGTAGTTCGAGTTTTTAAGACAAAGTTATTTGGCAAAAATTGGGGGTCGACCTCTAAACGGGTAATAGTTTCGTTAGGTTGAAAAATATTTACCAGTAACTACCAGTAAACAATGGAAACGATGCACCAACACACCACCAGCTGTGAGTGTCGGTACAGTTGCCAGGGCAGATCTCTTGCGAGCCCAAAGTAGCCAAATCCATGGTATGGTAGCACAGGACGATGTAAAACAAAGTATTCATTTATTAAAGTTAATTTATAGATACTGGACATAAATTTTTGTTCATTACATTTGAAACATCAATCTTTGTTAATTAAATTTGAAACAAGAGAAAACTACAATACTGGATTTTCATTAAAATATTACATCACAAGTATATTTTACCTTAACTGTGACTGAATGAATATATTCTCGGAAATAAATATGGAAATGTAATATTTTTGCTGGAATGACGTACATATTATAGTGGGAAGTGGGATAAAATCATGACGAAAGACTTTCGCTTTCTTTCGTTGTTCAAAATATTTTACCGTAATCGCTTTTCGAATGGTTTTCAGTTAAAAAACTGTTGTACTCGTACTGTATTACAATAATATTCTATCCTATCATTAGCCTTATAATCCCACAACTGAAAACCATTCGAAAAGCGATTACGGTAACATCTTTTGAGCGAAAGAAAGCGAGTCATTGCTTTCGTCACTTTCCACTGTAATACGTACGTCATTTCAGCAAAATATTACATTTCCATATTCTCAGAAATAAATAGTACTTTTGCTGAAACGTGATGTATTTCAATGTAAATTAGGATAAAATACATGACGAAAACAAGAGACTTTACCTAACCTTCCGATGTTCAAGAGATGTTACTCGTTTTTTTAGTAGTTTTCGGTTAAAATACTCTTATATTAGTGATATTCTATTCATACTGTGCTTGATATAATACATTCACGGAAATGTAATATTTTTGCAACTACAATGCTGATGTTAACACAAGTGTGGTTACAGCGAGACTGACTGAGTGAGGGAGAGCTATGCGTGTGTGTGTGAGGTTGCGGGAGCGGGCGGTGTCCCGTGTTCGGTGCCGCGCGTGAGTTGAATGGCGCGCAATTTGAATGTACTTCAATTACTTCAATGTACAGAATATTCCTCTGGCAGGGCAATCCGCGTATTTGCGAATCCGTGAATGCTAAACCCTCGTATGTGAAGGGCCGACTGTATTTTACTAAATTTTTATAGAGAAAGAGAACAAAATGCTTGAAAGCATTCTTAGAGAAGTCTGTTTAGGCAACCAGTAACTTTTTTGAATTGTTTTCAATGGGGCAGCTTTAGGAATTACATGTTATTTATAACTAGTAATTCACAAGAGGTAAAATTAATGAATTACCCGACAATAATAATGGACCTTCATTTTAGAAGAAAGGAGGAGTCCTGTTGCTTATTTATGTGTACAGGTATTCATTTTTTTTACTATTAACGAAAGTATAACAGAGAGAGATTGAAATAAATGAAAGCATTTTAGAAAAAGCCTGTTAAAAAAATTATTGATATCAATGTTTTTTAAAAAGACAATTGAAAAATAACATTATTTATAAATAGTACTGAACCTTATAACCAATATATGAAATGTGACAGTGAAATGATAAGCTTTGGTTCTTATAATAAAACAAAAAAAAAATCGAGGAAAGGAAAATAAGCATATTTTACTGAGTGAGACTTTTGCTGCTGCACCAACAATGATACATATTTTATATAAGGTTTGTATTTGTTTGTTTTGAGAGCTATGCATGCAGTGCTAGTTTCATCAGTAAGTCTACTCCAATAATTAGACTTGACAAAGTTCATCACTGAAAACAATGACTCACATGAATATGTAGATGAAAATACTGTACTGTTAAAACTGCCATTGCTAAATTTTTCAGACAGTCAAATGTTTCAGGAATGGAATTCCAGAGTTTCAGAACCTCATTTACTGCAATTTTCGGTGCTGATCCAGTCACTAACTGATCTCTTTCAATATTTTCTAGTTCAGGTCTTAAGTTGACAAATTTTTGCCTCCAAATTGAGCTGTTTTGTAAATCAATCAATTGCATCTCAAAATTATCCAAATCAATCCACTGCAACATATCCAAATTCAGTTTGTCTAATGTTACAATGTCTGCACAGTTTATGAATTTTGCAGTTTCTCCAAATGACCTGAACTAAGTAAATCTTAAAGAAAAATGTTCAGTAGTTGAATCAGTGATGCTCGAAAATTGCATTTGAAGGCTCTGAATGTCTGTTTTCTTATGAATTTCAAGATCAGTCATGTGTTTTTTTAGGTTTGGGAAATATTTATAAGTGCCATTGTCGACATCACGTTTAAAAATTTTCAGTTTGATTTCAAAGGCTTTTAGGTTATCAAACATAACATCAAGTGTTTTGCCAGATTCCTGTAATTTGGTGTTCAAGTCATTTAAATGTGAGGAGAAATTTGTAAAAAAACATCAATCTACAAATCCACACAACGTCAGATAATTTTTGACAAGAACATTTGTCATTCTTCAAAAACAGACAACTTTCATCAAAACACTCAACAAATCGTTAAAGGACAGAACCTCGACTAAGCCAATGAACGTATTGTACATAGTAAGTAGTCCTGTGTACACCGAATTCACCTCGCTCATTAAATTCTGAAATTGTCTTTTTTTCAAAGCATGCACAGAAATATAATTGACTACCTTGGTTTCAATTTTCATCACTTCTTCACGTTCTTTAAGGCCAGCTTTTGCACACAAAGCCTCCTGGAGTACAATACAATGAAAGGCTACCAGTGGATGTCCAACATATTTTTCAAACAAATTTACAAAACCTGCTTCTCTACTAATCATGCTGGGTGCACCCTCAGTTGCCATGGAAACTATTTTTGAAAGATCAATTTGTCGATTAGACAGTTCGTTTACTACTGCCTTACATATTTCAGCCCCTGTGGTATGTTCAGGTAAAGTAAACCAGTTCTTCACATATTTCATCGCCCCTACAAAATCGAGCAATAATGGCTAGCCTAGCTGATGATGTAACATCAGTGCTCTCATCAAGACAAATGGAAAGCAATTGACATGAACCAATATCTTTTGTTAGCTATTCTACTATGTTTGTTTCCATCTTTAATATTCTATCTTTTACTGTGTTTCTACTCACTGGCAAATCCTTAATGCGCTGAATAATTTTTTCCTTTTCTGGAAAACCATTAAAAAGGAATGAAGCACATTTTAGCCATGATTCTTTAATATACTCCCCATCACTGAGTCGTTTTCCATGTTGAGCATTAATCTTTGAAATCTCAAAACCAGCAGCAACTAAGTTGGAACTACCTGAAACAAATTTCATCAAAACATTTGACTGCATTTTTTTGTTCCTGATTTCTCGAGAAATGTGTTCTTTTTGTTCTCGCTCACTTTTATCACAAAGCCATTTATGAACAGCTTCATAATGCCGCTTTACGGAGGAAGTCCTGCACACCACTGTTTCGGAACATAAGATGCGTAATGCTTTATCACCCTTTTTGATCATGCCAAGTCTTTCACGCCATGATTCTTGAAAATCTCTGCTGCTGCTGCCTTCATTTGAAAATTTTTGTTTCTTTGCTGGTTGAGCTGACATTCTGGACAAGCTGATAAGGGTAGATACAATGCAAATACTAATACAAAGTCAAAACAGAGTAGTAAACAGTAATGCAGCTTACAAATCCTTTTACCAATAAATAATCACTCGGCCACATTCCACATGACATTATATTCTAATTGTCAAACAATTCAAAAATTTTATTATTCGTATCATTAGTTTATTATCGTTTTCTTCAATGTCACAAAAACTCCAGTGTTTGCTCACAAACAACTGAAGGAAAATATGAGCAGAGTGAAGCCAATGCCAACCGTTCACTTCTATAATTACCCGAATACTGATGTGTACACTGGGTCGGCAGGGATTTCAAAACGTGTCATCCAAAGTAAAGTGTTTTCGCAACCGCCCAGCTGGCGCCAAGCCGGCGTGAGACACCTCACTGCTCCCGGCTTGTAAAAATTCATTCGCAGCAATAATAATTGGTAGTAATGACTGGCTAGTAAGAGGAAAAGTGGTAAAAAGAATTAAAGAAGCGATTAATTGTCAGTCGTGTCTTTTCTAGAATCTTGTGAAATTACCCATATTTTGCCCACTGTAGATATCTTCTACACTGTAACTATTGTGTAATTATTTATCACAGGCTCCTCAACCTTTTGTGTACCAATACTTTTAGCTTTAGTACTGTACTACCTTCCACAGGATGGTCATGGAGTGCATAATTGGTCAGCAGCTTTTTTGGGAAGGACTGAAAACTAAACCCCTGAAAACCTCTGAGTGCAGCCAGATTGGAACAGTTAACTTTTAATAAGCCATACATTCAAAGTTTATTTTAAACATAATTTTAAATGGAATAAAAACTAGAATTGACAATTAATTTTCAGGTTTGAAGAACACTTTCATCAGCAAGCAATATTATTGAATTGATCAAAAAGTGTAGCTTCCAGGATCACAACCTTGATAATTGATTCATCTGGGATGATCCCTTGGGGTTCATGATTTTAGGAGCATTACATCACTAGCATATACCTTCTCGAAGTTCTGTACAGTATAAAGAGGAATTTATTTGAAGAAGCTCCTAAGTGCCATCAGAAAAATCTGTTGGTGTTTGTTTTATGACTGACTCATTATTTTCCAGTGCCAGTATGGTCAGGTGTAAACATTGCCGGAGTGCGGCTTCGTGACCTCAACCCACTTATTGGTACCCCAGAGGATCCTGACAAGTACAATGAAATGCACAGGGATGTTGTGAACAGGTACTGTAATACTGTGATCTCAATATAGTTTTATTTTGAGGGTAAATTAATATATTATATACATCGGGAGAGAGAATTCCATTATTATATACAAAGAAAATGAAGTGAGCATTCACTTAATATTGATATTTTTACTGCTACAGTACTGTACACCATATGGAATTAGAAGTGTAAATTTTAAGTTCTTTACTCTAACCAATAATCTTCAATTTAATGGAATGCTTAACTTTAAACTTCTATTTATTTTTCAAATGTGCTTTTAAGTTTAGCACTTCTTTACCTTTATCAATTCATTACATGGTTTAGGTTTTGAAGTTTAATTTTATTTTCTGTACAGTTATAGTGAAACATCTGTGAGTGGTTAATATCTGGCAGAATTAGAACTTTAAATTGCCGTTCATACTGTAAGTTTTTGGTTGTTAGGTTTACTAAAGAAAATTTAATTGACCACAAAGCCAGATTAACCAATTTTGGTGGTTGAGCTGTACAGTAGTGAGTCATATGATACACTATTGTTTTGTTATGAAAGATGTTTGTAATACTGATTCCTGATTGAAACACTTGTAGCTGATTAGTAACTGTTTTTGAAGTACATTACTGGTTGGATCAGTGATGTAGGAAGTGGAGAGTAAATACAGTACTGTATAAGTTATGTGATACAGCTCTCCACATTAATATTGTACAGTGATTAAGTTATCCATTTTAAAGATTCTTGTAATTGTACTGGTACAGTACTTAAGAGGTTTAGAAGTGTTAAGTGAGGGATTCTTTTAAGAAAATTGTCTTACAACAGCATAAAATTTAAAATTAAATATAATGCTAACTGCTATGCTGTACACTGTACATGTTATGTATACATATGACCACCCTGTACTGTACAGTACTACAGTACTGTACGTATATAGAAAGTTAAAAAATATCTTGTCAAGTCATATCATCCAATCAGTGCTTGGGTTAAGGCTGTTCATTAGCTGCCAGTGTTTGCAACAGGATGACAGTATACAGGCAGTTCCCGAGTTATGAACCAGTTACGTTCCTGGACCTTGTTCGTAAGGCGATCTGTTTGTAAGTCAGAACAGTGTTAATTCCATAGTTGATGTTAGGTTAAAGCACAATCCTTCCCAGACAAAACAACAATAGTATCCCATACATAACAAATAATGTAAATAAAGTTATGTTAAACAATCTAAAGTCATGTAAAAAATGAATATAAGGTTGTGTAAAAAATGGGATTTTAGTTACAACCTTGCCCATACAAAACAATACTAATATCCCATACATAACAACTGTAATGAAAGTAATGTCAAACAATATAGAATAATGAAATTAATATAAAAAAGGAGTTTCAGTGACAGATTTTTGTGATGATTATATTGGGATCCTGTTTGTAAGTGCAGGTGTTCGTAAGTCGAGGACTGCCTGTAGTTGACTTTCAGACATTGGTTATAACAGTTGCAAGGAAAGACTCACTCTTACTCTATAGTTTCCAACAGTAATTCTTGGTAAGTTATTGCACAAAAGAATGGAAATTATTGATTTTATGGCCATAAGAGCCTCACTGCCAGCATGATTTACTGTAGATGCTACACCATATGGGTTGACAGTTTTGTTTTAATGCATTCAGAACCATTATTTTCAGAGGTAATTTATTTCATTAAAGTACATTGGATTTAGAAGAAGCCTTTTCAGTTATTAAGAAGGAACAGAGAGACTTTAGATTGAATGATGTGCATATTGATCTTTATGGAAGACTGCTGAGGAGGAGATGGACTTTAGCTACAGTTTTACATTTATGGCTCATCCCACAACATTGGCTTATATTTAACTGAATATTTGAGAATCAATTGGGTTTTTAAAGCCAGCTGATGGGGACAATGTTCTAATTAAAACACATTACAGTATACAGCAGTTCTGTTGGGGTTATGGTGATGTAATAACTGAAATAGGCCAGCAGAATGATCTTGTTTGATGACCGGAATATATATTCAGGGTTAGCATGTCTTTCCTACTTCATGGCTATCACTTCAGAGTACAGTGTATGATAAAATATGCATATCAGCTCTTGTAGATGTTGCAGTAATAAAGAGGATAAATAAGCAAAAGACTTCATTCAAAAATAGAAGAACAGGTACTGTACACTAACACCTATGTGGTAGTATATATACAGCAGAAGGTAAACCAGTGGTAGATAAAGAAGTGAGGTAGATAAAGTAAAGATGAAAACTACGATGAAAATAGAATTAAAAACTGCTGTACTGTACGAAACTTCCCATGATAGTTTCCAGTAGCTCAATGGTTAATTTTGTAGGAATAGATTAACGCAGAAAAAATCATAATGATCGGTACTTCTGTGTCATCAGTGACATTGAAGGGTTGTATATGTCAGCATTAAAGTGTTTGTATTTGGCAGCATGATATAATTACCAAATCTTTATTACAGTACTTGCTCTTTATAAGGTAAAACACATTTTTCCTTTTGGAGCTAATTCCACCGGGAAAATATACTTTCATGACCTAGTAATGTGAGTCATCAGTACTAAATCATCATTCTCCTGAAAATTTGAACTGAAGTGCACACTAACATTTTGCTTTAGATAATTTTGGTAGATGTACAGTACTGTATCCATGCAACATTTGAAAGACCATGTGTACATATGACTAACTAACTTTATCCTGTGCAGCTAATATGTTTGCAGTTCACATTAGGCAATCTGGATTTAATGATTAGCTATTTAAATTTTGTAATTTGTGACAATGCTATTTTTTTTTAGGTATAACTCAAGATTGTGTTTGTTAGGTTGTAGATAGTAGTCGTTTGGTCTAACTTCTTAATTTTGAAGTATGACAGTGGAAGTAAATAATGTACAGTACAGTATATAATTCACTCCATCCTGATGATGGACAGGTAAGGTTGGAGTATTTGCTTATTGTGTGGTTAGTATAGCTTATCTGCATTAAACTTTTCTGTTTGTACTGTATAAACAAATGGTGTTCTTTGGATATTCATCTGTTATGGGTTTAATTTTAATAACATCACTGTTGTCAGTACATTAGTTAGGTGGTGGTTGAAACAAAAGTTAAAAATGTACAAGTCTCTCCGTTTTGAAAATAGAAAGACCACCATTTGAGCAGAAGGGGTTAATTTTGCATACAGCATAGTCTGCATTTACGTGGTCAATTGAACCCATGGAGGTCCGCGTGAAACGAGAAACGCGTAAACGAAATAACAGAACATATGGGATTAATTGAAATAGAGACTGGGCCGACCCCCAAACTCCACTTTTTCCGACACAATACGTACCTTGTAGTAAAAATAAGATATTAATTTTATGATGGTATGCACACAATTAATATTTAAGAGAAATATCAATAATATTTGGTTTTTTAACACTTACGTTCGTAGAAAAGATGGGTCGGCACACATGGATGGCGGCTGGTTCTGAGGCAGAGGGCAGGTTAGTTGCCCTCCGGTGAATCACTTTCACTACTCGCAGAGGTTTGCAGGGCCTCCCAGACAAACTCCTCAAAGTCCATATCCTCACTGTCACTATCACTGACTTGGGCTGGCTGTGGTTGTGGTGGGTTGCGGGCGAAGAAGTCCTTAATACTATGTTGACGACTAGCATTGATGTTGTTGAGATAGATCTGGATATACGGCTCCATAACTTTCGTCAGATGGTTATTAGACTCCTCATACCGATGCTTGTCTGGGTCGTTGTCAAGGATGAGCTCAATTTTCTCCCCCAACTCGATGATTTCCTTCACATAATCATGGCTTGGTCCAGGTAATTCAAAGTTTTTCTCGGGTGGTGGGGGTCCAGCGGAAGCCATCGTGAGGGGAATAGCGGGCACAAGAGAGAACTATACACGGACTGAGAACAATGAGACTAGCCCGGCTAGGTCAGCGACTTCTACCCTCTGGTTGCAGGGCACGTTATGTTACATTAGACCAATCACAGCTAGCAGCGGAGGGAATGCGTGGGTGGTAAGGATGCGTGGCCCAATCACAGTCCAATACGTCATATGAAGTCGGCGATAACTTAAGAGTGACCTAATGTGCACCCCTCACTGCGCCGCTTCCCTCGTATGGTCAAGAATGGACCGCGTGAGTAAAAATTGGCGCGACGCGTCTGGACCTCTCCAGCAGCTCGCCGCGTAAATGGCGAAATTTACAGCGTAATTAAAACATTTCATTCTGGCACGGCACCGCGTAAATGACCAAACGCGCAAATAAAAACCGCGTAAATCCAGACTATACTGTACTGTACTGCATGGTATTGTATTTTAATTTAATTTTCACTACTAAATGGTTTGTTAATACTGTATTGTAGTCTGAACTTTAGCGTAACAATCCATTTTGCTTCTTATATGCTAACTTATGCCTTCATAGCTGAATGAAATTATTTTGTGGTCATTCTGCTGCTATGCTATTGCACCTCAAATCTTCAGATATTAAGTTTCTGAAAATCATGTACTGTACAGTACTACTCTATCTATACAGAGTTTTTTTAAGTTATAAACTTTCATTTTCTATTCCTGTTAAAGTTTGTATACAAGGGTGTACTGTATTTACAAAATTCGTCCAATACCCATTTGCTTTTCTGTACGTGTACTGTACTAGTTCATCTTATAATTGCCTGTTTATTTATACTTCATATTATAAACTTTACCTATTACCCATTTGCCTTTCTATTCCTAATCCATTTATACTGTACTTGTTTGTGTATACAGTGTACAAGTACCCTTCTGACAATCTAACCATTTGCATATCTCTACTTAAACCACCAAATGCTTTTTTACTTCACAATACCTATACCATATGCACTTCTCTGTGTATTTAATCCATCTTTCAGCAGATACTTGACAATTAATTAATTGTGACAATTTCTATACTCTACCCGTTCCACGCTAACCTAGCCCATAAGCCTCGCCCCTCGTCTATGGCTACAAATAGCTGATTGGTTCCCCCGAGCGTTCTACCTTCCCCGGACTGCGCGTGT